GTGCTGGGGTCATATGACCCCAGCCAGGTGTTTGTCCAATCACCAGCCGGGTGTTTGTTCAGCATTTTCATCTCTGAACATCACTTTTGCAGCAGTTTGTCAAAGGGAAATCTTTGCACACTGGCTTGCAAAAATCTGACTGGGGGCTGCCTCTTTAATATTAGGTGTGCAGTGACTGCAAAATATCTGCATTTTTAATATTAGGTGTGCAGTGACTGCAAAATAGATGCCAGTTAGTTAGCATGCTAGTGCACAGCACTGGACATGCAAGTATCTCAGATAAATGGAGAGAGATTCATACAGAATAGCCAGGCACGCTGCATCCCTAAACACTGACTCTCTTGCCTTTAGTTTAAAAAATATTCTCAATCTTAATATGTGTGGCTGGGAAAGGTTGATTACATAGTACCTCACCAGAGGGCTGCAGTACTATTTGAGTTCCCTATGCCTTTCTGCCTTTAAGGCTCGGTATCTTTCCTCTATGCGGTCCATCCATTTTTGATGGAAGATACTTACTTGTTGCAAAGCTCCATCTCCGTTATGATTATCTCTTCGACATGCCAGTACACATCAGCTTTTGCACTCGACTTTTTTCCATCTTTTGGACAGTGACCAACACAGATGGCGGCGATGCTACCAACATTCTTTGAAGAAAACTGAAAATTGTCTGTTGCTCCTCTGCAGGAAACACAGAACAGCTTCAATTACTCTCTCGGAGACAGGCAATAACTTGTCTCATATGGACATTAAGTAATTTGCACATGGCTAGAGAAGATAGAAGATAAGCTTTCATTTAAAGTCATTTGATTTAACCTGCAATTATTTAGCACAAGGTATAATTTCTGTATTTAAATTCGGTATTTTTCCTGATTAGGGTGATGCTTTAAATTACTGCCACTAGGACTTTCCAGGATAAACTTGAGCTGCTTCACATAAGAAATCAATTTGCCTTGTTATAGATAAAGCTAAAGAATGACTAATTTCCCCTATACCATTCGTTTTTCTTGACAGACTCTTTATCTGTTATACATCTAGCGATCATAGTGACTTTAAATTTGCTAACTCAGCCCAATTTTAGAAGACCATCTTGAAAACAGCTTAGACAAACAACTGGTCTCTGGCAAACGTTGCTGTTTCCTCTCTAGGGTATCCTACATAGTTTTTACAGTTGCCTTTTTAAACCATAAGTCTATTCAATATCCAGTCCTCAAGGGTTGGCCAATGATTCATTCTTCAGAGGAAGTTGTTTCCTCTGAACTCCACTGTACCCAACTATTGCAAAAGCAAGAGCTTCCATAAAATCATAGAAAATGAGGGTTGGAAGGGACCTCAGGAGGTCACATCTAGTCCAACCCCTGATCAAAGCAGGACCAGCCCTAACTGACCTGTTCTTTCTGACCTTTGATATTTCAAATAGGCATTTATGTACTGTAGCCCCTGACCTTCAGATCGAGGTAACTTAGAAGAGTGCCTGTCTTGCAAGGGACTCGTGAGATCCTGAAAGAAAGACATGCCCTCCCTACACAACAGACAGACATCGGATCATATATCCTGATGGTCTTAGTATAGATCTTCTTTGCCTTATGGTCTATAGGCGGGTATGCTCTGAATATAGCATCCACAAACAAAACTCAACCAAAATCTCATTTCATGTGTAGTTACAACTGGCGTGGTTTGGCCCGCTGGTGTGCTCAGGTGCAAATAGAGAAAGAAGGAATCTTATTCATTACACATACCAGCTCCCATTCACATTTTCAGTATAAAGTTCTCTCTCTCTCTCTTTTAGGAGAGTCTCAAAAAAGCGTCATATATTGGAAGGGACCTTAAGGGTTACACGTTCTCTCTCTCTCTTTTAGGAGAGTCTCACAAAAGAGTCATATATTGGAAGGGACCTTAAGGGTTACCCAGTCCAACTCTCTCCATAGGTGCACGACTCACTGTTTATAATGAGAGCTGTCTTACTCTAAACCAAAGACTGGACTTGTTAGGCCAGACTGAACACGTAGGCTGGAATTACACTTATTCTTTCTCTGCTTCCCCACCCCATCAACCTTTTTGGAGGCTAGGCTAAAAACACCTCTTGCTAAGATAAGCTTCCTGGCACTCCTCCCAACTCAGCTACCTGGGGGTCCCCTTTGCTTCGCCAGGCAAGCCCGAGAAGTATTACAGTTCTGGTAAATCTCAGATGTAATTATGGGAAGGACTCTCTCCCTCTCACCAGATGGCTGTTTCTGTTAATTCTGAAAGCTGCTTTAGCATCTGGTCACCACGGTCAAACCAAACATTAACCCCCACCCCTCCTTCTCCTTTGGCACCGGTGGTATCTCCTTTGGCACTGCTTGAACAAAGCTGATTTGGATCCTCTGGAGGGGAGAGGGCTTTGTTTGCTTGGCCATTGAGAGCTCCCTTTCATACCTTCCAAATCTCTTTTTCTTCGGAGAATTTTCCAAGACAAATTCTTTTGAGCGACACTTCCTTCCTTCTAAGATGATCCAGACATGTTCTTTGGTTTCTGAATTCTCTTTGTTGCTTGTTACGGTGACGATCTCGTACGCTTTAAATGCAGAAAAAGCACACAGTTCCCACAGCAGTCAGAGCAGGTGCATCTAGGACTATGGCCAGAGTCTTGTCTAATTGACTGTCTCTCTGGTGTATAGATAACTTCTCTTAATATTGGTCACTCTAGACTATAAAGCACCTGCAAGCTAAACCAAGGATGGAGACTGGGATCTACTGAAAGTGATGTGGCTTTTACCCTGGGCTTCTGAGTCAGGATTTCACCCCAGGCATGGCACAAACAGAAAACAAACAGAAAACATAACAAAAGGCTTATGGTGTTCAACTACCAGGGCTGGATGCTGCTTTCTGGAATTAAAGTTTTCTTATCTTTCAAAGAATTCAAAGGGCAGTTGTTTGGGGCATTCCACTTTCTCAGCGGCTCTCTAGAGATGGGGTGCAGAGGATAATCTTGTCCCCTTTTGCTCAGGAGGGGTATGAGGAGACAGGAGGCCACAATGTCATCAATAGGCAAAAGACAGATATTTATGTTTCCATGCTAGTGCAGTGGATCTAATTATATCATGCCTAGATGAATCTATGAATCTATGAATCTAGATAAATACGGGGCTTATGTGACAGCTGGTTGGATATGCCTCAGTCAAGACCGAAATAACACTGTTGGGTGGAGAACGCACCTGGGAGAGCTGGTGGGACTTGTTGGTGCTCCTCACAGAGGGACAGCAAGCACTATTTGCAGAACAGATGTGCACAGATGTGCGGCGGAGTTAGGCCCTACATGGCTCTGGTCCGTGGCTATAGCCAAGAATGGCTTTTTTTCCCCCCATCTGCACCTAGCAGGATTCAGTGTGTTCTTTCCATTAATTGTGAACCCCAACTACCATTACCCATGGTCACCTCATAATTAGCTGCTGGAGTGTGCTTTACAAGAGGCAGCACCTTGGGAGCACTGGGAAACATGAGTACATGCACTAAGCTGTAGCCCACTTACTAGATGGAGTTTCTGCCAGGTTTACATTGGACCAGAGGTCTGGGGTCTACACGGGCTCCCAACAGGATTCGAGGTGTCCGTTTTAACCTATGAAGCCCTAAACTGTTTGTAGCCAGGTTCACTTCTCTCCCCATGAAAATGACCCCAGGTAAAATCAGCAGCTGAAGCTCCCTTAGGAGAGACAAGAGGTCTGTCTGCTGCCAACAAGTACTCGGTAAGGGGCCCTGGACTCTGAAACCAGAAACCAGCTGTGTTAATGCTCTGAGCGTGCAGCCAAGCTCACGGGTGTTTAATCCTTTGTTCAGCTTGTTGAGGGAGATGGGGACTGATGCAAATATATTTTGGGGCAGTCCTTTGTCTGTTTGTGTGCTGTTGTTTTACTTTACAAGCCATGTTTGCATGGAGCGTCTCTCTGGATAGATTTGAAATATTTGAAGAACGTAAAATAACGAGGTGTTGTCATTTACTGGGGTCAGGCTGTTGAATAGGCCAATTTTACAAATGAGCCACTGGCAAAGATGGAGAATGGTCCGGTGGTTGGACTGCCAGCCTGGGACTTGGGAGACAGGAGCTGAATTCCCTACATGGCCATAGACTTCCCATTTGAACAGGACCAAACCCCTTGGAGCTAAATTCTCCTTCACTTGATGTGTCTAGTCATGGCAGGATGGTTTACAGAGTCCATTTCACTGTATGGCAAAACAGAATCACCCCGTGCCTGTACCTGCAAGCAGGAAAGCAGAGGAGGAGAACAAGTGAGGCCCTCCCATGTTTTAGCCCAACAGCCTAGCAGTTAGGACCCTTGCTAAGAAAGCAGAAAACATCATTTCTTCACCCCCTCTCCCAAAGGAGGTTTGAACCTGCCTCACCTACTGCCCAGCCAAGAGCACCAACCACCACTGCCCGGGGTTAGGCACTGCCCAGGCCATCTCCAGATGTGCTCTTGAAGCTGAGCCACTGCTGCTTTAATATTCATCAGCTAAAATAGATGGAGAGCAGCGGGGCATTTCCCCCCCTCCCATCCAGGACAGCAGCCATCTCACTGAGCCACAGACTCTTTGGCTTATGCATTTCCTCCTGGGCCTACTAGCTCCCTCCCTTGGTGATCCATCACATCAGCTTCATAAGGGGACTGGAAGTTGTTGCCTAGTGGTTAGAGCCCCTTGCTAGGAAGCAGGAGTTGTCAGTTCAACACCCCCGTAGGTTAAGGGCCTAGTGCCCATGATGCATGTCCCCAGAGCAAGTATTCACCAGGCTAAAGTGTGCTCTTCATAGGATTTTGCCCAGTGACAACTTCATGACTTCCCGGCCTTATGCGTGCACCTGTGTGAGCATGTACCGCCAGCTCCCTGCCCAGCGTCCGCACAGCCCTCTTCTCTGCAAGTGAGCTTGTTCAGTGGGGATGTGCACACTTCTGTGCCTAAAGCTGAACCACAATCTGGGTGCAAGTGCCAAAAACTGCCGTCACGCAGCCACGTACAGGCCACTGAAGCACAGAGCGAAACAGGATTTAGCTCTATGTGTCTCTGTTCTCCACCTGCAAAGCGAGGCTAACCCTTCTGTGTATTATTATTCTGTTTCGCGGGGGCATTGAGAGGGGAAATGCATTATAGCCTGCAGGGCACTCTGAGCCTGTGGTGATGGGAGGCATGCAAGTATCTCTGATAGAGGGCAAATGATGCGAAGCCGGAGCAGAAGTACGCCGAAGGATTTCTCGGTGTCATGGAATGCAATTCTTAATTCTTCGTGCTCTCTAGGACTGGGATCTCATCTGAAGTGTGCTCCATGATGCGCCGAGCACATTAGCTGGTGCTCTTAAAAAGCAATGGTCTCTAGCCCTCTCTCATCACTTTCTACACCAGTGTGATTTCATTAGCTTTAGTGGAACTGCTCTGGATTTGACACCTGTGTATCTGCGAACAGAATCGGGGAGGGAGTATTAAACTTTGCAATTAAGGTCAACTGGGACATGAGAGCTAGTAGCCCTGGGGTGTTTCCAGCAGGGAGTCAGGGCAATGTTACTTATAAGCTTTTGGAGATGGGACTTATTTTCCACCTCAGAGATTTGAGCCCATTATTTCTAATGAGGACATCGCCACGTATCATTCTGGCTTGTTGCCAGGATCAACAGCTGCTTCTGGTACCCTCTTAACTTTCAGCCGAGAGCGGGATTCAGTGTTTTTCTCACTCATAAATCCTGCTTTATGCCTTTCTCATGGAACCCTAGTGCCCTGTTTCTGCAGGCACAGAAGTAAACTCAGCCTTTAGCACTTATATCTCGAGACGCTCCATTACTAAGCGCTGACAATGCTCAACTGAATGGTGTCAAGAGAGGCAGGTCTCTGATGACCTTTAGAGTCTGCCACAGCCTGCTTCAAACTTACTGGTACGTTCCTTCTCCTCCAGGATGTCGTTGTTGGCACAAGCCAGTTCTCTGATGAGCTGCCCATCGTCTTCGCTCTTCGCCATCCAGCGATCACACTGGAAGCGGAAGGCCTCGTCCATGGCAGAATCGATGACCTCAATATATTCCAAGTGCCACCCTGGTGCAATCCCTGGGTCGTAAAAAAGCACAAGAAATTATATCATATGGCACTGTACAGATGCAGAGAAAAGAGGTCGCTGCTCTGAGAAGTGGATCACAGATAGGTTTGATGTTCTTGCCCTCGTTAGTGATATCTTACCTCCTGAGTAGACCCAATGGCTTCTAGACAGGACAAGTGGATATGGACTTTGTACCATGCTAGAACAGGTATTATAAGCAATATTATTGATTCAATTGCGGCACCGCTCCTAAGACAGGCCTGAGTATGGAAAGAACCAGGGCAGCCAGCCACAGGGCAACACCCTTCCTTCTTGGGGCCCCGAGGAGGGCTCTCCATGGGTATAAGGTACATGGGAATAAGTTGGTTGGGGAAGGGAGAGATTTTGGGGGGATCCTTTGTCCTGTGTTTGCACTGTCCCCAGCACAGTGGGCTTCTGGGCTGTAACTGGGAGGCAGAGAAGCTTCTGAAATATAAATACCAGTAATAACAATAATGACCAGCAGGACATTATTGTTCTTTATTATTGTACTTCTACCAGCTGCACTGAGGTTCTCAGGAAGAAGTGATAATACAGTGTAGGGCTAATAAAGCCCCACAAAATGCCGTTGAGAAACCAGGACAGCCAGGCTTTGGTGGAACTTGCTGCTAGACCCAGAACAATTGCAGGGATGCAGCATTTCTGGAGATCTGCAATGTTTCTGAGCAGGTCCTAATAGTATAGCAGGGGAGAGCTTTCCCAAAGGCACTTCCCATGCGCCACTTGCAGAGAAGAGGGTCTGAGCAGCAGACCCTCCATACACACACTCACACCCTTCATACAGCTCTCTTAGGCTACTTTCATTCTAGGTCTTTTGTGGGGCTCTTGTAATCACTTATCACAGGTAACTCCTGCCCTAGCAGATGGCCTTCACCTACCATCTCCATGGTTCAATGAAAAATATGCATTTTGAGACCGTAGCAAGGTCTGGCTCTAAGGGTGGCCATGGTGTTCCCTCATTGCCACATAAAACCTGCCCCACTCCAGCTCCTCAGTGTATCCCCCCCACTAGCTTTCCTGCCATGCCTTGATGTATGTGAATTGGGAGACTTTCCCTGAGTGCTGGAGTGATCCTGATTGCCTTTAATTGACCTAACCAGACTCTGGGTCCTACTGGTTCCTCTCTGGACCCTTAGGCTGCCACACAATTATTTTATGCCCATATCTTGCCCTTCAGGCACCACCCCTGGCTTTTTCCATGCCACAGGGCAAATTGCCTCAAGGGCATTAATCATGGCCTCCAGCTTCCCCCAGAGGTGACCCAGGCCTCATGGGTGTTAATCACCATCAGCTAGTAATTCCAGCCCCTCAGGCCCTCATCCCTTTTTGTTCAGCCATTTACAACCTTGGCCCCTTTCCTGTAGCTGGACCACTCATTCCAGCCTGGCTTCTCGGTCTCAGACCTTTGGCCATTTTGGCTTCCACTTCCGCTCCATCCTGGCTTTGGCCTCAGCCCAGCTGCACTGCTGCTCAGTGCAGGGCTCAAAACCCAGTGTGCCCAGGCACCTGCTGCATGGCCTCCTGCTTCCCCCTCCAGGCACAACCCCAGTGTTTAACAGCTCACAATAATAAGAACCACAGCCATCAGCAGCTGAGGCAGGGTGCCTCTCTCCATGCTCTCCCCACTGCTTACCCTGTTTGGCTGGCATCTCCCAGTGCTGGCCCTCCTGGCCCTACTCGCTGTTCCAAGTGCCTCACTGCCCTGGGCCAAACTGTAGGCTCTGGCTCAGGAGCTGAGCATATATCTCCCCAGGCTACATCTCTTCTGCTCAGATGACCCCTCTGACTAGCTATAGGAGTCTTCCCTCAGCTTACTGAGCATCCTGCCCTCATCTGCTGCAGCTTGCCTATCTACTTGTCTGCCCTTTTGTCTTGCAGCTGGCTCCCCAGTAGTTACCTGCAGTTACCTTGCAGCCTGTAGCCCCTATCTTTTGGCTTCCTCTGGCTGCTTATTCTCGTGCAGCTCTCCCTACCTCAGCTGCCTACTCCAGATTGCAGACTTCTTATGCTGCCTTCTTATTGACTAAGTACCGGGGATTAAGGGACCCTGCTAGGGAGGCAAATACATCATTATGGTTTCCCCATCTTAATTCTTTGACCAGTCATAGCTATGAGCACACTGCTGGGGATTACTGCCTGCACTGGGGACTGGCCTCAATGGTGGTTTGAGTACCATCTGCCCCTGAGAAATAAAATACCCCTCAGAAATACATTGCCCAGAGCTGTTTAAGGCTATGCTGACAAACACTTCAACAGGAAGAGGTGTGGGATGGGAGCAACCACCCTCAGATATGTCTTTAGGAGGTGAGGTTTAAAAGGAAGATCTCAATGGCAGGCAATCGGAAAGCTCCATTTGGATCTGATGCTCTGAAGAACTTTTATAATTTGTCCTTCTTAACGGTGGCACCTGATGTTTGATGCTGCTGGCACTGCACTCACAGTGTGCTGCCATTGAGCAACGTTATCACAGGAAGCTTCCCAATAGATAGTGCAAAAATCCCATGTTATACCAGAGCACCTAATATAACTATGATCACTGCAGTAGAGGCATGCAGCGAGTCCAGCTTTCTCCTTCATTTCCCTGAGGCAGCTAAATTGGTGCAGAATCCTATTTGACTTAGTAGACAACCCATGCGCAGCTTGCGACCAGCCCAGAGTTACCCACTAAAGCAGGTAGGAGGAGATCCCTTCCACACTGGTGTTTCTCCAACAGCTCTACTTGATGAGGTCTGTTACTGTTCAAACTAAAGGAGTGCCATGATCATGGCAAGACCCCTCCGCCATGCTGTTATCCAGACCTAAGAGTCATCTAAATGGCTTTTGTCTCCTCCCAGGATTGGTGGCTACCTGTCTGTTGCCTAAAGCTTTCTTCATTTTGAAACAAATCATCTTTGCACTCCTGAAAAAGGGCACAGCACCCTGATGAGCTGCAATGTCAACAAGTCACCCCGCCGCCTCTGGGATAGTGCTGGGAGCTGTGCCATGTTGTACCACATGTAACAAAGTAAAGTCAAGGGTCTTTAGGAACATCATTGTTGTCATTCCTGCAGGCCATGGCCTTGCACAGCTTCACAGAGACATCAGGGATCCTTCTCTTACAAAGCACAGAGCAAGACCAGTTAAGTCAGTTCTTCATTAGCTGTTAGCTTATGACATGCTTTGCACAAGGGATTACCTACTGTAGCATGAAGGAGAAAGATATTGGCTCTTTTCACTTAAAAGCGGTGTTGCACATTGATGACAAACACCATACACATACCAAAGGCAGATCAATTATAACCTCATTGCTCCTGGAGGTGGGACTGCAGGGTATTACACCAGAATAGTTCTGTTCATGACTCAGTTACAGAATAAAATGCCACAGGCTTGTCTTTGGGGTGGGTGAGCACAGGGCAGCAATGGTCTTCATATGTTCTTCATCTAAAGCATACATCTCTGGGACTCCAGCCATGTTCTTACAAGAGCCACTCTCTATCCCGAGTTGCTTGGAAATTTATTCTAAACCTGCTGGCAGGGTCACCCTGTTAATCTTGCTTCCTGGCTCATTTCCATTTAAGACTCAATGAATGTATCTATAGAATATTCAATATTCAAGAGACTGCTCTGCTTTTTGTCAAGACTTAGTTAAAACAGGCCACAGGAAAAAAATACATTTTTGCTCTTCCTCCAGCCAAGTATATCAATGACTAGAGTCTAATGACTGTTGTAATAAATGAGCGGCTAGATCTGTTCCCACTGGAGAAGGGTCTCCGTTATGCAAACCCTAGTACGTGTGCATTCATTGCCTCCGACTTTGCAAAGGGGTGCTATTGTGAAGACCTCCCCTGCAGGAGTGTCCGTGCAAATCATCGGAAGTGATTCATCTAATCCGTTCAGTGCTGTGAGGCCTCACCTGGAGTATTTTGCTTGATTTGGGGCACCACATCAAGAAAAATGTGGGCTCATTATGAAGAATCCTGAGGAGAGCCATTAAAGAGTTAGAGGCCTGGAAAACATGACATACAAGGAAATCCTTGGGACTATTTAGTCCAGGGAAGAGGAGATGACTGTGGAGGGAGTTAATAACAGCCTTCAAATACAGAAAGAGTGGCATAAAGAAGCCGGTGACAGACTGTTCTCTGTGGCTGCAGGGGACAGGACAAGTAATGGGCTTAAAAAGCAAGAAGGGACATTTAGGATGGCTATCAGGAGGAATTTTCTAACTGTGAAGGTGGGGAAGCACTGGAACAGATGACCTAGAGAGGCTGTGGATTCTCCACCCTTGGAAGCTTTTAAATGCAGATTAGACAAATACTCAAATGAGGTGGTTTAGACAGAAATGACCCTATCTTGGCAAGGGATTGAGCTTGGACCTCCTGAAGTGTCTTCCAGCCCTATTTTTGCATGATGCTACTCACTCCTGCTCCATGCAGCCATGATTAGACTGGCTCTGGACCCATAAGCCTGAGAACAAAGCTTGGCTGCTTCTTGGGAGTGTATCAAACAGCAGCTACATGACATATTTTCAGCATTTGAGGTGCAAGAGACAGTGCTCCCTAGGGTAGTTGTAGGCAGCTTTGCCAGGCCCTAACTGGAGATCTCAGCACAGAAATAAGGCCTAGACTCCCCCCAGCACAGACCTAATCTCTGCAGGCCATCACCCAGACAGAGCAAAGGTGGGTAGGCTAAAGCAAGGTGAAAAACGTTGGCAAAGCAGTGCTGGGAACTGCCCCAGCCCATGTGGTACATACTGATAGGGCTGGTTTCACTAGGACAAGCCTACATTTTCATACTTCATCTCAAGAAAATGTTCATGTCAGGGTCAGGTATTTGTTTTAATACATTACTAGGTCCATATAGTTCTTCATGCCACAAACTATTTACATCAATTGTTTGACGTGGAGGTGGATAAGGCTATTTGACATGAAGAGGATAAGCCAGCACTTGCCTAGAGACCATGCAAAGGCTACTTTGAAGGACAACCTTTATTTGT